CTACTTCCTACCTGGAGCTTCAATTGCTTTGTGTTCCGCAGGGGATCCCAGCCCTCCCAGTTCACCCAAGGGTGTACCCATCACTCAGCTTCAGCTGTCAGTCATACCCATCTAGGGCCCGAAGACATATCACTATCTGCTTAAGCAATGCTGCCCCTAAAAAAAAGGACAGCTTCCTTAAAGATCTAGGAAGGTTTTAAAAATCATCAAGTTGAGAGGGAAGTTTTTTTTTAAAGGCGACAAACTACTGCCTCCTTCATTTCCATGTATGGAAATCACCTTTCAAAAGCACACAAGTGAAAACAAGGAGATTTGTTGTGTGCTTGAGTTTAAGTCCTTTGTTTAGCTTTGCCGGAATAGGGCATTAGGTCTTTAAGGAAGTGGGCAAACGAATTCCACATTTCACTGTGAGAAATTAAGACATTAAAATGTATGCTCTCATCCAGTTCTAAGTTACCAATGGGTGATTCCTTTCATGGCATTTCTGCCATCTTCTTTCTCCAAACTCAGCCCAGTCTCCTAGTTTCCTTCTTAGCATCTTTCCATGTCCTATCCCCCATGTGGTGTTCATTACTGACCCCTCATCCACTGCGTGTTTGTGACATGGTCCAGTGTGCTGCCTATAAGAGCATCTCCTGTCTACAGTGCCATTTTGGGGACAGATTCCTTCTGAAGCCATCACTGTTCAGAAGAAATCACACAGTAGTACTCAAAATGCATTTGTTAATGAATGAGTGAATTCTTCTACCCACATTACTCATCTTAAGGACTTTTTTTTTTAATCTTGGATGTATTCCCATAGGAAATTTTAAAATGGGCTCAAAAGGAAATAGAAATATATTACCTAAGCAAATCTAGAAACTAAATATAGTGTTTTTCTAACAATAGATTGTAACAGATGGTTTACCAATAATAACCAACTCTCTCTTCTCACCTTTTCTTTTTTTTTAAATGTTTTATAAAACGCTATCCCCTTTTATTCTGTAAAAATGCACATAGATTCTAGAATGTACTATAATTCTATTTCCTTTTTTTCCCGGCTGCATTAGTAATTTTTTTTTTTTTTAACTAAAGTGTAGTTGACATACAATCTTATATTACTTTCAGGTGTACAACACAGTGATTCAACGTACTCACCAGTGCTCAGCACGGTAAGTGTAGTCACCATACAAAGTTACTACAGTTATTATTGACGATATTTCTTATGATATACTTTTCCTCCCCATGACTAATTTATATAGTTACCTTTCCAGCTAAGGAACAAATAAACCATCTTTAAAATTGCTTTTCATCAATAAGGGGAAGAAAGAATCAAAGTGAGGGGAGAAATCAATGCCTCTTGTTGACTTTTAGGCTTCAGGAGACTGAAGTGAGATGTGACGGTACAAGCATTTTCACATGTCCTAGCTGGCTCCTGAGAGAACTGGGAAGTGACACAGGGTCCTGGGAAGTGACACAGGGGCCAGGAAAACTGGCAAGAAAAACTTTTAAAATCTTGATTCTTTAAATTGTTAGCAGTATACATCAAAGTCTTACCAGGTATCCACCTCTGGTGAATGCACGTTGGTATGCTTCAGATCTATTGTTTGTCTGTTCGATTGATTGGTTTTTACGGTTGAAAACAACAAACATTGACTGTCTCACGGTTTCTGTGGCTCAGGAATCTGGGCACAACTTAGCTGCATGCCTCTGGCTCACAGTCTCTCACAAGACTGCAGTCGAGGTGGCCATTGGGGCTGCTTGAGCAAGAAATTTAATTTTAGAAGAGAAATCTATACCCCACATTGGGGCAGAGACTACTAAAAAAGAAAAAAGTTAAAAATAGAAGAGAAAGCTATGGCCAGGCAATTTGTTGTGTGTATTTTTAAAAGCTAAAATGAGAAAAAGTATAGAGAAAAAGCCAGTGATATTTCTTTTTTTTTTTTAAAGGTTTTATTTATTTATTTATTTGAGAGAGAGAGAATGAGAGATAGCAAGAGAGGGAAGAGGGTCAGAGGGAGAAGCAGACTCCCCGCTGAGCAGGGAGCCCAACGTGGGACTTGATCCCAGGACTCCAGGATCATGACCCGAGCTGAAGGCAGTCGCCTAACCAACTGAGCCACCCAGGTGCCCAAGCCAGTGATATTTCTAAATGAGTCGTTTATCTCATTTATAAAAGTGAAAAGAGTATTAAGAATATTTTAAGCAGATTTTTGGTAGGAGGTTGATTCTGAATGAGTAACACCCTTGGGACAGCAGAGGTATAGATTTTCTGAAATGACTGGTCTTGAAAATCTTTTCATCTTGGCTTTAGAATGCAGAGAAGGCCACATGTCCATATGAGCTTAACGCTTTATTGTCTCAAACACACCACAGCCCCCCTCACTCATAGGATAAAGACAAAATACTTAGCTTATCCAAGTAGGCCCTGTTGTGCTTGGCCTAACTCTGGCCACCCCCTTCTCTTCAGTTTTCTCCTACTCCCACTCTCCATCCCCAGGTGTCTATGGCTCCGTTCCCTGACCCCCGCAAACATCTGTCAAACCTCTTCCCACCTCTGACTTTTGCACAAACATAAGTTGATCCCTCTCTTGGCCACTCTCCCCACCTGACTATCGATGTTATCTGTATGACTTATAGTCATCCTTCAGATCTTATCTCAAGCATCTCTTCCTCCAAGACTTGCTAAGACTGGATCAGGTTTCCCATAGCCTCTCATACGCTGCTCTTTTCCTTAAGGGCATAATGTAGTTGATATACATATTTGTGTATACCACTTGATCGCTACCTTTCTCCTCAACTGGACAAAGCTTCCTAAGGAGAGGATCTGTGCCTGTCTGAGCCATTGGTCTTCCACCTTTGCCTAGTACAGCCTGGACGTGATACCTGATGAATGTTTTCTCACATTCCCGGACAGTTACCCAGTGTCACCCTGAACCATATCTAGGTAATGAAGATGAAGCAAATATGGGTAGCTGTAAATGAGATCTTTAAACAAATAAGTTTAGTTTGAAATATACAGTTGTCTAGTAGGACAGCCTAAAAGCTCAAATAGTGATACCTCCTAATTTTCTCCATTTTGGCCTCTCAGTGGAAAATGTTGGTTGCTTGGATAATATTGCTCACTGAAATGACCACTTCTGTCATTCATTTCCTCTGAGACCAAACTCTATTGGCCTTTGCTCTTTCTCTGCAGCCAGAGCTAGGAATGAAAAAGAATGTTGGAAGTGACTTCTTAACCAAGGTCCACCAACCAGGACAAGGCATTTCAATATTAGTTCCTGCTCTGGCTTCTAGGACAGGTGGGAGGCTGACTTTTCTTTTCATAAGAAAGCACAATGACTTCAGTTTGTACCATCTACTTATTTGGATTATCCTGGCCATTATTACAGATAATTGCAACAAAGACTTTCTATTTTGAGTTTTTGTGGAAATTACCCTTATCAGAAATAGTTACTTATCAAAACCAAGCTGTTGAAAGTCAACAATAGCTAACCATATCCTACTTAGGTTGGGACTATGAGTGATCTATAATTATTTTTTTTTAAGTTGGTTACTCTTCATTCATTCACTCATTCATTCAGCACATATTTACTTATGACCATCTTTGTGGCGGGCTTTAGGATCATGAAAGTCTCCCCATAGCCTGAGGAGTCTGTAGTCTTATGGAGCAAAAACATCTTATTTTACTCAAAGAGAATCAAAGAAAAGAGAGACGTGTTTAGGTCAGAAGGTAGAAATTATCTTCAAAAACTTTAACTGTGATTTGAATAGTAAATGTAAGCAAAGTGGACTTAGATGATGTGGCACCATTATATTCTTAGGAATAAGCAGAAGAGGCACAAGGGTCAGCTTGTATTCCCATAGTGTCTATGGGAGTTTACAGAATCTTCCCAAGAATCTTTTTAAGAAATAATAGATGCCCTTCTTTCTAGGAAGTTTTAGATGCATGTGGTTGTAAGTGTGATTCTATCTGGGGACCAACAAAACATTTTTATATGGTTTTCATAATTTCTTTACCCAAAAACCAAATGATCACCCAACTTTGGGCTTCCATGTGCTTTGGAGGTCCCCAAGACTGCCCACATAGTCAGTGATTCACTAGAAAGACTCACAAAACTCAATATATGTTTATACTTACAGCTAGAGACTATTACAGTGAAAGGATGTACAACAGGATCAGCAAGGAAGAAAGATACCGGTGGAATTGGAAAACATATCTTTACAGGCTTCCGATGCTCTCTGCCTCCCATGAGTGGACAAACCAAGTGTGCTTCTTTCTCCACTAGCAAAAAGTGCAGTGATACATATGCAATATTTCTCCCCAGAGAAGCTCATTAGAGACTCGGCACCAGGGTTTTAATTGGGGCTGGTTCTGTGGACATCCTTTGCCTAACAATTACCAAAATTCAGACTTCCAGAATAAGGCAGGTGTTCACCAAAAATTACAGTGTTTGCACAGTTTAGGCATAGTGAATCATCCTTATCCATTAGGGAATAGAGAGAACATTCCGAAAGCAAGTTCCCAGATGCCGGCCAAGGGCCAAAAACTTGCAAGCAGACCCTTGTAAATATAGCAGCCTCAGGCGTGCTGTATTAACTCTTTTCTGCACACCATTCTTTAAATCTTCTTCCAGAATACATGTTGTAGGAAATAGAATATTCACACTTCTCACTCTTTGCATACATGGCTAAAGAAAATGTGGTTAGCCTTGATTTTAGGTATTTTCACTAGATTATCCACTAGCAATTATCATTTTTAGATAACTATTACTATTATTAATAATATTGTTGCCATTAATCCTGGTAGTAATTATTATCCATAGTGGCAATATTATGAGCTCCTATGATTAATATACTGTGAATTATTTCTAGCATAATATTCATATAAATAATCCATCCAATGATCATTGACATTCTTTTAAAGGTTTTAACATGCTGAGATCATGAAAATCTAAGGAGATTCTGTGTTTGGTTCCTCATTTTATTTTTCTTCTAATCTGTTAACAGGACAGACTTTCTGCAGCTTGAAGGAGCCAACAATGGATTTCAAGCGTGTGAAGGACTATTTCTCCTGGCTCTACTATCAATACCAAATCATTAGCTGCTGTGCTGTCTTGGAGCCCTGGGAGCAATCCATGTTCAATACAATCTTACTGACCATTTTTGCTATGGTGGTGTATACCGCCTATGTTTTTATCCCAATCCACATTCGTCTGGCTTGGGAATTTTTCTCCAAAATGTGTGGCTATCACAGTACAATTTCTAATTGATCCTGTTTGCATTCTGTGAATTGGCTTTGCCTATGTATATGTTGCTTACAACTTACTGGTTTTACGTGAATATGTGTCTTCTTTCATTGTATGATCTGAAAAACTCTCTTGTCTATGCACTCTTATATCTTGCCTGCAGTGTGGGATAGATGTCTTTTAGGTTTTTTTGTACATGCTACATGGTGCATTAGTCCATATAATACATACACCTTGCCTCACATACCAACCATATTCTTTCAACTTAAATCTACAACTTTAGATTTTTTTTAATCAGGAAATTTCATATAAAATTTTTCTGAAAAGTAGGCTCATAAGAGACCTACCAGAATCATGTTTAAAATGCTCCCTTGATATTTATTCTGTACTAAAGGGTATATTTTTAAAAAAAAAATTTGTTCATAAGCTCCTGTCAAAAGTATCCTATCCTTGTTTACACATATAAAAAGATGTGAATAAGTTATATGGGCCCCCTAAAGTCTTATTTTCTAGCAAACTGCTGATACCTAACATTCTTTTACTTCAAGTGCAAAAGAATAGGTGGGAGGCAATTATCTCTTTTCAGAATAGTTCATGAATTATTTCAAATGCCTCTAAAAGTCTGGCTTTATAAGAGTTTAAAATCAACAATGTTGATTTTAGATAACCCAGTAAGTATTATAATACAAAAAATATTAAGTGTAAGGAACAAAATATAATCAAAGTAAATTCAGATATCATGACTTGTGATGCTGCCTTGCCTTGCATGGTGCCCGGCGGGTGGGGGGAGGGAAGAAAAAAGAAATTGCTTTCTTTCTGTGATTTCACTCAGTGGAGGAAGGTGGGGGGAAGCACGTATTGGGCTACAGGAAGAAAAGCTAATAAATAGGCTGGAAGTAATAGTCTACCAGCAGGAACTCGACAGCTCCAGTTAAATGCTTTGATATAGTGGCTCTTTTGCAGAGCAAAAACAAGATTTATTAAATTTCTTTCAAAGTGTTTATCTTAAAACAAATACAAGTTTTTAATTGTACTGCTGAATCAAATGTGAATGCCAAAGACCAAACCTTACCGTTCGTCTTTCCTTTCAATAAATAGTAAGGTTCGTAATTCTGAGGGTCAAAATGTAAATAGTTTTTGGACAGTATTTGCACCCATGTTTGTGTTATGGAAAAAAAATTTCCAAGGAAGGCTAGAGAGAAAGATGTTTGGCATGCCAAATTAACATGCATGTTTGTTAAAAAAAAAAAAAACAAAACCAAAAACACGTGTTTTGAAGATAAACCAGATCTGAACCTGGACTTGTTGATTTTTGCCAAATAAACTTAGGCTTAATTTTGTAAATAAGACAGTCACCTCCAGATTTGCTTTCTCCTCATATTGCACCAACTATCTAGGTGCTTCCATCCACACTTGTCCCCAGACTTTTTTTTTTATTCTTAAAGATTTTATTTATTTATTTGACAGAGAGAGAGAGACAACGAGAGAGGGATCACAAGCATGGGGAGCGGGAGAGGGAGAAGCAGGCTTCCCGCTGAGCAGGGAGACCAATGCGGGGCTCTGATCCCAGGACCTTGGGATCATGACCTGAGCCAAAGGCAGACACTTAACGACTGAGCCACCCAGGCGCCCCTAAACTTATCTTTTCTTATAATCCATTGGGGCAACTGATCTTAAAACAGCGGGGTAAAATGAACATTTATTAAGGGTCTTCTCCATAGTGAACCCATTTTACATGTTGGAGTAGATATTAAGGTCTCCCAGTTACAGGTAAGGGACGTGGAACTTGGAAAAGACACATTTCTTGTTCAAGGTCCTTCAGCTGCTAGTGGCAAAGCAAGGAAGCAGGTCCAGGGCGGGGCTCCTCCCGGCCCGGAAATACGTGGCACATTGGAGCCCGTGGGAGGACAATGGGAGCAAACGAAAGATGATGGGATGGGGTCACCGACAGGTTAGGAAACAGAACCACATCGATTAAAAGAGGCAAGGGCATGAGGAGACAGCTGAGGTCAGAGGAACAAGAAGCCCAGGTCCCAGTTCCACCTTTGCTGCTTACCCTAGTGCTGTGTTCACCCATTTCTACGCTGTCCAAGCCCATAGGCCTATTTTGAAAGATTGCTTTCACTTTTAAATATTTAAAAGAGGATTCTCAGTTAAGCATGAACTTGGATGCATTCCCAGTTCACAATGATTCAACACGCTTATATACAAGGACCCCTGCTAAGTACTCTTGGAATTCAATTACAAAGATACTGCATTGGCCTTAAAATCCTCCTTCTAAAAATAAGAGTTAAAATAAATGTGAAGAGACACAGTAAAGCCTAATAAAGGATATTGCAAAGCACTGCCCCCAGGCTGTCACTTTGAAGGTAAGCATTTCCTCTGAGCAATCAAAATGATAAATACAGGGTTCATCAAATATAATCAAACATAGTATGGGGGGGGAACCTATCTGCATACAGACGGGAAGAGAGCCCCACCTGCGGTGCCTACTCTGTCAATTCGCCCCGCTAGGCAGAGATGCTCTTTACCATGACCAGTGTTAGCCTAGATTACAAACACTTTTTATATGCTTTTTCTTTTCTTCTATTATTTGTATATTTCAATAGTGGTCACAGAACTTTAAAAAAAAAAGAATAGTCAAAAGTTTCATGGTTAAAATGGGCTTGCGTTTGTCACTCACTAAACTTGGAATCATAAAATGTTCCTGCACAGATATTGGCCAAGTCAACAACTGCTTTTCCTTACTTGTGCAACCAAAAATACAAAATGCTGAGAAAGCGGGCAGTTTTAACACCAAGATAACACCGGTCAGTCTTTGTTAATAAGTTGTGTGTACTAAAAAAAAAAAAAAAATCACTAGTTCACATCTTCTACTTCTTTCTTCTTCCATCATTACCATATTTAGATTCTCTCACTAGCAGAGCATGTGCCCCTGAAAGGCAGGAAATTTGTTCTTATTTCTGAATCCCCCGTATCTAGCCCAGTTCATAATAGCTTAGCAGATACACATCCTAGAGCACATGACATACCCTGTATCCACACAGAATCAAGGAAGCTCAGTATTTGTATTGGGCCAACCTCAGAATGAATAGCTTCCACCTATCAACCAAAAGAGTAGCACTCATTCATTTGTTTATTCATTCATTCAACAAACGTATTAAAAGCCAACCATGTACAGATAGAGGAATGGAGAGATGGATAGATATCTAATGAAGAAAGCCTAGTAGAAACTAGGTTGTAGGTATTCACATGTCCGTTGTAAAATTCTCTTAACTTTACTGCATGTTTGAAAGTTTTTTTTTTAAGATTTTATTTATTTAAGATAGAGCGAGAGCGAGCCAGAGAGAGAGCGAGAGAGCATGAGCATGGGGGGATGAAGAGAGGGAGAAGGAGAAGCAGGCTCTCCACTGAGAAGGGAGCCCAATGTGGGACTCAATCCCAGGACCCTGGGATCACGACCTGAGCTGAAGGCAGATGCTTAATGACTGAGCCACCCAGGCACCCCTGTTTGAAAGTTTTTATAAAAAACAAAAAACAAACAAAAAAACGCTGGAGGAAAAGTCTACTACAGTCTGGTCGTTGAGTTTGCCACTAGGAAACAAAGATAAATGAGACTGAAACAGTAACACTCCCAAATTCATGAATCATACAATCTGGTACACAAGATGACACAAGAAAAAGATAAGCAAACAAAATATTTATGAGTTGTGGTAAGGTCTTAGGAAAGGAACAGCAGAGTGCTGGAGAGGAAGCAACAGAAAGTCAGGGAGGGTGGAGCATTTGGGAGACCCAGTGAGACTTGAATCCAAACTTCTCTCATTGTAGGATGGTAGCAGGAGGACGAGGTGGGAAGGAGGTGATCTCACACTGTAAGAGGGAGACACTGGCTGTTGTGTGAGGGCGGGTGGGAGGGGCAGGGGTCAGAGCAGGGAGAACCCATGCAGGAGAGGGCTGCACTAAGGGGGCAGTATCAGAAGCAGAGACACAGAGGTCTGATTTGACATATATTTTGGAGCTAGAAAGTCACACATCTTATTTATAGGTTGGATCAAAGGAGTAATTCCATTAAATACCCAAAACCTTTTTCTTTAAACTCCAAAAGAAACTTCCCATTTTGGTAAAGTTATTTCCGGAGCTGATTAACTATCCTAAGAGAGGTTGAAGGAAGCCAGCTTCATATATTTTTTCTATTTTTTCCACTGTATCTCATCAAGAGTCCTTACACTTCTGACTGGAAGAAAGGACTCCAGTTTTCCACCATGAAACAGAATGTTATTCTCTAGGTACTTTGCATCATCAAAACGGACTAGCCAAAATATCAGTAGCATGGTTGTTCCTAGGGATTAAATTATCCCAAGACTAATTCTAGAGCTTGAAAAGGCTTTAAAAGCAAACTTCAGGGCTCGGGTTCTCTTTGATTCATTTCCGAATTATTATGCAGACAACAGTGAAAGTAATGGTATTGAGAAGATTTAATAGTAGTGTTATCGGAGCATGGCTGACCAATTTTTAATTTCAGTTATTTGGTTAGAAATTATGAGGAAACAGGAGGCAGAAGGAGTTCCAAAATAAAATTACAGTTGCCTTTATTATAATGGCAAAGCCTATTTCTGTAGCTTTTTTGTGAACAATGATGACGTATTCCATTAACAAAATTCACACTTCTAATCATTTCCAGATGGAATTCAAAATTCAAATTGCTGCTTTTTATTATTGTAGTTTTGTTCCTAACAGAGGCAGCACTTAACCCAGATGTCTGATTGTGGGGGAGGGGAGACTGCAAAATGGAGGACAGGGCGCCCCACGTCTCTCTCACACGCGCACGCGCGCGCACACACACCAGCGGGTAAATTCCCTGGATGGCATCGTCCTGATCACTAGGGATGCAGCGATGGAGGAGAGCCCCATGTCACCCAGCTTGGATTCCCATTCAGCAATGAGACGAGAAAGGGACAAAGAGGAAGAAGAGTCAGAGAGATTGGGGGAGGGGAGGGAAGAAGGAAAATGGAAGAAGGCTTATC